TAATGCTGTTCACTTGCTGATTTTACAGAAGTGGGGGATGCTGGCTAGATGAAGGGCCTTCTCTGTGGTTGCACCCCACCTTTGGAATAGGCTCCCCACAGAGGTGTACCAGCACCATCACTGCTATCATTTTGGTGCCAGGCAAGGACATTCCCTTTTCCCAGCTATTTTAATAACTGATTTCAGTTAACTGACCATACATACATACATGCATATATATATATTAACACACACACACACACGTTAATTGCCTTAAATTTAAATTTGTTTATTTTAATGTATTTAGGTAATATTTTAATTTTGATACATCATGGTTTTATATCTTCATTATGCTGTTAATATATTTAAATATGTATGTCCGATTTTAGAATGCTTTGTTGTTCTAATTGTTCTGAGCCTCATAGAAAGTCTAGAAATGGGCTACTGCAACAGCATACCAATAGAAATAACTAAATAATTCTGGGCCAAGTTGTAGAGAGCATGCTTAAGATGTTTCTAGATGAGGGTTCCTAGCACTGTCAGTCCAAAAAGATTGTGCAGCTATTTTTTCTTCCTTAATAATTGATTTTTAATAGAAAAACAGACAGAAATGTCAGTGAAAAATCATGGGACGGTTACAAGCAGAAAATGAGAGAATCTCAACACACATCCCAATAAAATTTAAGGATTAAGGCAGACCAATGCCACAAAAATGAATTTTGTCTAGAAGCACCCTCAGTCCATGTGTGATACTGACCAAGCTTGGAAAGTGCTGATGCTAGCGATATAGCTGGCAAGATTTTCTACTTGTTTGCACATGAATAAATTTGTGTCGGAAATGGGGACACTATAAGCGTGCAGAAGATACTTCTAGGAACTAGAAAAAGAAGTGTATCTTGTGATTTTTGCAGTTATGAAAATAGCTGTATTAGAGTATTTGCATGAGCGGTTACAGGAATGAGCTGGCAGCTGAAGTAACATTTGCACTAGCTCTAAGACCTCATTGTTGCTTTAGGGCAGTGAATCTTTTCCCTTAAAAGAAAAATAGGAGGAAAGAAACCAAGAACAAACTAAAGGGGCTCATATTTAAGCAAAGAAATTGAAATGGCAGAAAGGGAATGGTTACTTATTTTGAAGCCTTTTTTTTGCTCCAAAGCTGTTTTTTTCAGGGGGAGGCTAAAAAGCACCCTTATTTCTCTCTACCCTGGAGGAAATAAGGCCTTTTTTGTTGCCATTTTTGAATGCTGGCACATACAATGATGCGCTGCATCTAATTTTCAGGGCCATCCCTACCGTTAGACAGAGTTAGGCAACTGCTGTAAGCAACAGATTTTTGGTGTCATAACACAGCAGTAAGCTGTTAATTATTGATTTATTGTTATGGCATTTTATTGCCAGGGAGAGGTGCTTGCGAGATTTTCTGCCTCAGGTGCCAGAATAACTTTGGTTGGCTTTTGCTACTGTGCAACTTGACTGGGAGGGGCAGCAGCAGCTTTTCTACCTCAGGCAGCAGCATGTCTGTTGTTAGCCTTGTCTTCAGATGATGACAGAACACGTAGTAGTGGAGACCTCGTTCCCCGGGAATCTTCATCACCATTACTACAATTTTCCAGGCAAGAATCTGCAAAAGGCATCTCAGGAACCCCAGGGCTCCTTGGAACCCAGTATGAAAACCTCACTGATTGGGCAATATTTGCTAAATACATGCAGAAAGGTTTAACCAAAACATGCAGAAGATTTGTAAATGATGGAGGAAAACAGGAGATTGGATACAGAATGGCCTTCAATTGAAAGATACCACTAGCAGAACAGGATTTTTGTGCTGTCTTCTTCCTTCCCACCCTGCAGCCCCAAACCTCCTCCAAATTTGCACTGAGCCAATTTGAAGAGCATGTGGGAAGAATTTAGAGGAACAGGAGATGATGGGCAAGGCTAGTTCTGAACCAGCAACCCTCTCCTACCTAAAGGATGATTATACATCCAAGCCAGAGTCATCTTTAACATCAACAACAACAAAAACCCCCTAAATAAAGTATGGATCCATTTCTGCATAAGTGAGTGTGCAGGCTTTGAAACGACACAGAATAATTATCTTTGGGCCCAAACGTTTGTTGATTAAGTTGGAGATGACTTGATGGCACATAACAACTCCATTTCTATCCTGCTTTTGTGTTCTCATGAGACTCATGCACATGGGTTTCTTAGTATTTATTTGCTAAAATCAAAAGTTCTTTAGGGCTGCCTCAATTTGTATCCTGAATTTTTCTTGACTACAGGGATGAACTGGAGAGGTTGACTTACAGATATTACATCCTGACAAAATAAGAGTAAGCAAGCCCAATGAGATAAGGAAGGCTCTTTTGTTAACAGAAAAAGAGATTTCAAGATTACATGAGTTCTTTTATTATGCTTTACTTCTAGTTAACACCTTTTTAACAGACAAGAAACACTTTTTGAAAGCACAGGAGACAACCAGGGAATAAGTGCCACTGAACACTGCAGGGCTTACTTCCAAGCAAAGATGTACAGGATTGTACCATTAGCGTCATCTTTGTCATGGAAGGGAGAGGCTTAAAATAAAAAGCTTTTAGAAATGTTCTGTTCCACAGTTTTTCTCACAAAGTGTGTGTTCTCCTGCCCTAGGTCAAGAGCTTCTACTTTGCATTGTCTTCCACACTTGATTGTAAGGAAACATTGCAGGTAGCCATACTGGACCATCAGGGGGAAAAAGGTCAGAATAGGTAATAATCTTTACTAGGATCAACTAAATGAGCACAAAGGAAATGAGTACACTTTCAGCTTTGTTGTGAAACTGGACATTAAACATAAACCAAAAAAGAAGGCCAGGTAGGGTGGGGTGGGGAAAAGAATGTTACACAGGCGAGATGGAAAAACCCTTATCTGCAGATTGTGATCATCTCGAAATGGAATGAGGGGAGGTATTATGCAGACTTAATTAGGTTAGGCAGTGCTTGGTGCAAAAAGCTCTCAGGTTGCACCAAGTTACAGGGATAGGGAAGCCTGTTTGCTCTCCTGTTGAAAGCACAGAGGCAGCGGTTACTTCATTCTGTCTCTAGCAATCATCAGAACACACAGGTCTTTGTGAAACAGAGTGCAGGAATAAAGAAAAATGTGATAATCTGTATGTTGGCAAAACTAGGGGTTAATTTTGGGTATAAAAAGCCAATAGAAGCCATACTGGACAGTGCAGGCTTCCGCCCCCACCCCCCATCAAAAGATATGTCCCCACCCCCACCCCAATAGAGTAGACAATAACCATGGGAATATCTATCTGAATAGCTTTGAGACAAGCCAAGAGTTTCCTGTCCGTCCAGAATGTAACCAGATTATTGTTCTTTATATGGATTATGTTTGCTGGTTGCTAAAGCGCATCAAGTTTCTAATACAGTTTATGCTCATTATAGTCAAGAATTAACTGCATTTGCTATTTTGAGACTGCTTGTTCCCTCCATGTGTTCCTAAAGAGGGTTTACTTAAAAGAGCTGACACAAAATGGTCCAAAGGTAAACCAACCTCTCCATCTGGCTGCAGTCAGTGCTTTTTAGGATGCCAGCTGACAGAACTGACTGATCCAGAACCTATTCATATGCTAGAACTCAATGCTGGGACATGAGAATGACTGACAAGGAAGCCTCTGAGCACATGCAAGGTGCTTTTCCCACAGCACTCTAAGCAGCCCACAGCCCACGCCAAACAGTTTAGATGCTGGCTGAGATTTTGGAAGTTGTAGCCCAACACAACTGAATGGTAACAGGTTGAGGAAGGTAGAATTTGAGCAATAAGGCAAAAGATGCGGACTTAAGAGCCAGAAACTTTTTTTTAGGAATAGAGTGCCACTTTCTAGAAGTTTAGGGAGGCTGAATATTTATTTTGTATTACCTTTTCTCCAAGTTTAGGGAGGCTGGATGAATATATATTTTTTATTATATACCTTACCTTTTCTCCAAGGAGTTTAGGGCAGCATAATGCCACCCCCAACTCTATGAAGAAGGCAGGGGTGAGATAATAAAGACAGGCCCAAGATCATCCAGAAAGCTCCACTGCTGAAGTAGGATTTGAATTTGGCTCTCTTAACCGTTGGCTGTCAGGAAGCACAAAGTTGATTTTGCACTGGAATTCAATCAGCGCCCATCTACACAGATGCAGAAGAAAGATCCAACCATTCTATGGCTCAACTTGAGTTTCACTGGGAAAGGTTATTTAGCACCGAAGAAAATTTAACTACTAGTCGTTTCAACTTTTTTATTTCTACCGCATACGAATCATTCCCTTCCCCAAGTGTTTGCTTTCTTGGCGTCGGATTAAAAGCCAACTGTTTCAATAGCTCCGCGATGGCACACACGGCATTAAAAAAATAAATAAATGTCACAATGTTAATTAGTTGCTCCCCTCGACCTGATGAAGCAGCCATTCCAAGGTGTTCAAAGCACGCGCGCGAGGACGCACACCTCCTTTCTCCCTTCCCTACTTTTTTCACTTAAAAGAAAAGATCTTTGTCTCGTGGGATGGGGAGGAGAAAGGGAGAAAAGGAAAACCCAAGCCAAGGGAAACTCCAGCCGCTTTGCCTCATCTCGCAAGTTAGCTAGGGGCTAAGAAAGCTTCTTGACATGGGTTACATTCCAGCAGTTTTTAATCCGGTTTTTACGGTCAGATCTCGATTTGGAGGTCTGGGCAGCTGGTCCCTCCCACCACCGCCCCGCTCAATAAACCTGTTACTTTCAGGCGCTGCGACACTAAAATGCGTGTGTGTCTGCCGGGGCGGGGTGGCCGGCCGGCCGGCCGGCGAAGTTCCCTGCAGGCGGGCGGCCGCGGCTTGCATGCGCGGTTCTCCTTCCACGGCGCTTTTATTATTACAGATATTAATTGTTATTATTGCTCCGGGCTCGCGCCGCTCGCGATTGGCTCCGCGTCCCTCTTCCCCCTCCCTCCCCTCCCTCCCTCCCGCGCTGTGTCCGAGTGTGTGCGTGTGGGTGTGTGCGCGAGAGGGAAGAGCGTGTCGGGGCTCGGCACTGGGAGGAGGGGGTGCAGCGAGGGCGCATGCTCTTGCTCGCTCGCAGCAGCCCGAGCCGGGGGCTCCGTTTAATAAGGGAGCGAGCGAGCGAGCGACAGACAAGGAAGAAGGAGGTGGCGGCGGCGGCAGCGACCACGGCGGCGGCGGCGGGGAAATAAAAATCAACAGACGTAAAAATAAAGAGCGACCGAAAGAGAAAGGAGAGCGAGAATGTCCGCCATGGGCTCTCCTCTCCTGTGCGCATTCTCGGTCTCTCCATGAATTAGAGCCGAAGGGGTGGGGGCGGGGAGAGCTGAAGACACCCCAAGGCCCCCAGGCATGGCCAGTTCGGTGAGTACGTGCGCCCGCCGCCCCCGCGCGCCTTTCTTTCTACCCCCGCCGCCTCGTCTTCTCCCGGCGCTGCCCAGACACCGCGTAGCGCTGCCAATTCTATGGAGAGGCTGGTCTGGGGGACGGGGGAATTCGCCCTCCCCTTCTCCTCGCGTGTGTGGCTTCCTCCTCTCCCTCGCTTTCCTTCTCTCTCGCTCTCGCTCTCTCTATCTCCCCCCTCCCGCTGCCTCCGCCGCCGCGGCTCGCTCTGCCCTCTGTGTGCAATTGCATGTATGAAGCGCGCGCGCGCACACGCACACGCACAGTGGAGGCGGATAATAATACAGCCATATTTCTGCTGCAGCGGCGGCGGCGGCGGCGGCGGTGGCGGCAGAAGCAGCGGCAGCAGCAACCCGCCGCCTCCGTCGCGCGCCAAGGGGGAGCCGTGAGTACAGTACAGGGGACTGGCTCGCAGCTCCGGAAGGCGCCTCTCAGGATGGTGCGTTCGCCCCGGCGTGGCTTCTCTGACAGCCGGCGGCACCCCCCCTTCCTCCTCCTCCTCCTCCTCCTCCTCCTCGCACTCTTCCCATTTCTGCATGCGTGCTAGCTCTAGGTGTCCGTGAGAGATGAAGCCTCGCCTCCTTGCAATAAAATTATAAATTTTAAAACCATGCTTAAATCACGGCATCTTCTTTCTTCGTCCCGTCTTCCCTCCCATTTCCCATTTTCCTACCTCCTTTCCCATCCCCTTTACCCTTTTCTGCTGCTTACTCTGGAGGTGGATCTTTGCCTCGGTGGGCACTTACATGCTCAGCCCATTTCAAATGGAAATCGAAATGCCAGCTTCACTGTGAATGTAATGACTGAGCCCAGCGTATTATTATTGTTATTGGCATTTTATTTATTATGCATAGCATCAGTCAGGATGAATCCCCCTGAAAGCGATTCGGTTTCATCCTTTTATTATTTCCTTTCTCTCCCTCCCCCCCCCCCCCAATTCTGTACCCAGTCCTTGTCTTGAAAGCATTATTCCAGCCTACATTCCGTTACAATCCCAGCTGATCCAGTAATGGGAATGCCTTTTTGAGGAGTAAAGGACAGGCTCAAGTGGATAGCTATTTTCTTTGTGTGTATTTTCTTTTTGTTCTTTCAGGGAAGCTTGAAAAATACAGGGGTGGGGTGTGGGGGCCCTTGTCTTTCTCTCCCACTCATTGTTATGTCTCTTTCTTTCTCTAGTGTGCTGTTCAGGTGAAACTGGAGCTTGGGCACCGAGCCCAGGTGAGGAAGAAACCCACAGTGGAGGGTTTTACTCACGATTGGATGGTGTTCGTAAGAGGACCAGAGCATAGTAACATTCAGCACTTTGTGGAGAAAGTCGTCTTTCACTTGCATGACAGCTTCCCTAGGCCAAAAAGAGGTAGGGGCTTCAACACAAAGGTATTTTGATCAATATCCATTTAATGTGTTTGCACAAGAGGGCAAAAAGAAATAACTGCCTTTCAAACTCCTGGCTTTTCTTGCATAGTCTCTGTGTTGGATGGCAGTAGCAACCACTGCCCTTTGCAAAGGATTAGAGTTAGTTGTCTGATGGAGAGTGACCCTCAGGTGTACCAAGGGTGAAGAAGACTCTCTTTGGATTTGGGAGCTAGCAGCTGATAGGTCTTCTACAGTTTCAAGTGGGGTGAAAAAGACAGACTTGAGCTTCCTTTGACTATAAAATGCCCGGGTATTTTATATCTATGTTACTTATCCATGTCTCCCTACAGTGTCTATATTCAATTGTTGCCGTGTTCATCTTGAATTCTTGCTGCCTGTGACTTCAGTTTATTGGCCAAAGGTTGAGTTAATTCTAATGGTTGGAGTATTCCTGTTCGTTATTTTCATTGACAGTGTTTATGGTTCTCCACCTTTCATTAGAGACAAACAATATCTATATTGATTGGAGCTGTTGGTTTATTGATGCCACCTTCTGTCATCACCTTTTGTGCTTTGAACTAAGTTTTGCTTTTGGATAGTAAGTGTATTTGAGTTGAGTAAAGTATTATCTGAAAGTGTTGTCTGCTACTAGTTTTGGGCCAGATATGTGGTTAGTGTTGGTTTCTACCTCTGCTTTTTAGATTACGTTCTTGGGTTCATGTGGTCAGCTAGCATACAATTAAAAGAAAAACCCTGAACAGTTAAGTGGCACTAAAATGCTAAAGAATGAGAGTGATATTTCCTTTGATTTCAAGACCTTTGGAAAGTCTTTGTTTTCAATTTTGGTTCCTCTGACCTCCAAGCTGTTGTCTTGACTGTTTTATTTGGATTAGTGGAGGTAACAGTACAAATACAATAAGGTGCTTTGTTTGTGAACAGGTTTGTTTATCTAGGTACACACAATGGTTAGCAGTCATCTTCTGTCTAATCTGTAATCTTTATTGGCATCTAGAAGTTCTACAGTATTTTAGAGCAGCATCCTAATAAAACAATTCTGCTTCAAGCTGTTTAAAAATAACTGGAAATAGAGAAGAATGAATGAAGAGACAGGAATAGGAGGGAAGGGGAGGAATCATATATTTTCTATAATTTTAAACAATATTTTAGAAGGTTCACTTCTAGACTGTCTAGTCCATAGTCTAACCTATGTATTACTTTTCTCCTCCCACAACAAGAGCTTTATTCTTTTTTGAAAACTAGTAATCTGTTAAATATGATTTTACTGGTTTCTCTACCTAGATGATGTAAACATTTTTGCTACAGTATTTCAACCATCATGTGGTAGTTTTGAATATTCAGTATTTCCCAAGAGCTTTCCCATAACATTATTTTTCATCTACTACTGCCTTTTCAGTTTGTAGAACAAAATATTCACCAATAAAATAACTTTTCTCATTGTTTGATCTGTGTATTTCTTCCTTTGTATAAATGATAGAAATATGTTTCTAGGGGTTGGAGACACTAGCAAAAGGAGATAATAAGCTTAGGTGAATTCTCATTTCTGCCCAGTAATTGCAGTAATGCACTGAAGTCAATGGTAGCAAGTTCTTTGGTTTTCCACCTTTTTCTGTGTAATCCTGTGGATCTTTCTTCAGAAACAAGCTCTTTTGGAATCAGTGTGAATTACCCATAGGTAAACATGAACAGAGTTTTGTAGCCTTAAATCTTGACACTTGTTTCTGTGCTGAGGTGGTGGCTTGTGAAGCTCTGTGTTGATTCCCTTGGCTTAATGATTTTCTGTCCTGCCTGAGGGAACATGGCTTTCCAGCTCAGACATGGGTATTGTTGCTAGGTGTGGTGTGGAGTATGTTCGTTGTATTCTAGGGTGTGTAGCTAGATATATGGATGTGCACTGTGTGCTGCTGTGTTGGTTTTTTTCCATTCTCTATGGCCATTGTTTTAAAATGTTTGTGTAGTACTGGTTTGTTTTCTGTTTGTTTGTTTGCATTCATTTCCATGTGATGAATACTAGGAAAAATGCCAGCTTATATAGCTTGGGGAAGACTTGTCTTATTATAATTACACATGACTCAAATTGTAGGAGAACCATTTCTATTCTTTGGGGATATGTAGTGGGGAGTTTAAGCTACACTAAATACACCAGTCACCTGCGTAGTTGACTTCAGCTTTTGTGGCCTAACAAAATTAATGAGAGATCAAGAGACATACCAGAAATCTTTCTGTTGTGTCTGACCTCTTATGAGTCAAAAGGCAGAGGATGAGTGGTCTCTAGTGAGGCTTCCAATTTGTTTCAGCAACCCACCATTTACTTCCTCTTAAAATCAATGTCGGATGTTGATGCCTAACATGTCCCTTGTAAGCTGGTGAAGGAAAGAGGCTTAGTTCATTTTTATGATTGGTAAAAGCTGGATTGTGGAAATCTTTCACATTTTATTCTTCATTGTTACCTAGTGTCCCAGCATTACACATTGAATATTGAATTATAGAAAACTGTGCAAAGAGGGTAATTTTTCTTAAAACTATTACTATTTAATGGACTGCAATTTATGCATTCTACCATTTATTGACAATTGAATTTAGATAGTTGCCTGTTTTGTGTAACAGATAACCATGTTCTTCTGACACCAGCTGAAAACCTATGTACAACGAAAGTCTAAGTGTAATACTTTTTTCTTTTCCTGTCTTAGTGTTTTTGAGTGTTTTCATCTGCCCCAGCAGTTCTAGCAACTAATCATGCACAGTCCTAGCAGACCCATGGATTTAAACTTTTGGAGTGTGCTTGGCTGAAGAGCCATTGAGATCCTAAGCTGCCATCTGTGGGGTTTAAGATTACCCTGGTATTTGGTGCTTCATTTCTAACCATGAATTTACTATTACACTACATCTCTCTTCTACATTTCCTATACGGAAAAAAAGTATGTGTTAGTAGGAGACTAAACGTAAGACTGGAAGGAATGTTAGGAAGGATCATGTGGTTACAGGGAAAGTGCAGTTACTAATGGCTGCTAGTCATGGTGAGTATAGTATTTGAGCCAGTATGGGTCTGAAGACCTGTTGCTGGAGAACATTGGTGGGAGAGAACTTTTGCAGCCATTACCTGCTTGAGACCTTCCTATAGACTGGCTACTGTGGAAACACCATGTTTGTCTAAATAGTCTTCTCGTCTGTTCCAGTGGGAACAGATTTGCACTAGACACATCTGCATGGTATTTCTCAAACGTACTCTCTTTTATATGTGAGACTGTACTGGGCTGCATCAGATCACATTATTCCTTTCACACGATCTTGAGCAGAGCATTTTATTTTGCTAGACAATCCTGCAAGAGTGCTTTCTAAAGCATGGCACATTTTTTTGTTATTTTGGTGATAGGAAGGAAACATCGTATATATGTGCGACTTGGTACAGAGAATGATTGAGTCTTTGTTTACAGTCGTTGGTTTCCTTGTATGGATGCACTGCTGTCTATCATTTGGTTGCAGTCTAGGTGTCAGTGAAGAAAATGGTAAGGCTTCTTCCTACTTGAGTTGAAGGGGGTTATACCTAATGGTACATTCCAGTATATAGAAGGACAACAAAATTAATTTCTCCTCCCTCCCTCCCTCTCTCTCTGTTAAAGTCCTGTTTGAATTAGAATATAACTATTGATTTCTGCTTGTAACAGGAAAGGAAAAATAGTAATTTGTATAGAAAAACAGAAGCAGTAACCCTTAAAAACCGCGTGTATTCTTGAAATCTTGCTACAGAAAGATGGGGCATCTTAGCAGACATGCTTGAGATTTCTACTACAATTCTGCTAAATTTCTACTATCAATTGCTTAATGGATACTGTACCAGCTCCTAATCTTAAACATACATAGAGTACTTGGTCGCACTTAATTAGACAAGAAAAGGTACAAGGTTCTAGTTGCATGTGATTGTCCTAAAACAGCCAATAGATTTTAATGAGGTTTAGGCTTACAGTAGATTATCAGTGAATCACAGAAAAAAAGTGTATTTCTTTAATGTGTCTGTTTAAATAGAATAAAAATTCCTTTTCAAGGAATTGTTTCTGTTTCTAACTTCTGCCTTATTTCTTTTCACTGGAGATATAGTTTTCCTTCTTTTATCCTGTCTCTCATTAAGCAATTAGATTTTTAAAAGGTTATTCATTACAGTTGTTAAGGTAGATCAAAAGTGAACTTTATTTGAAGATTAGTGTACATTCCATTTGTAGTAAGTATATTTCACTGTATTTTATCCAAGTGATATAAACCAGTATGGTTGATCTTCCCATACTGCGTATTATTAGCAATACTGTGTTTAGCAATTGAAGTTAAGTGGACCATTGGGGTTGGACTAGGAATTTGTTGATTGGTTTTTAAATGAACTATTAACAAAAAATAGAATGTATCAATGTAAATGAAAGTATATGTAGAGAAATGGTTTCTTTCCCTACACCAACAAATGACTTTCTGCTTGGATCATTATCTTAAGTATATTGGTTGAACTGGATCGTATTCAGCTTGCTTATAGCACTGCTACTGCTGCTTTTACAAGCAATGATGAGTTTGAGATTTTCTTTCTAATCTACAGTTTGTGAATTAACTAATCAAGTGATACCATATATGCCGCAGTAGAATGAGAACAGTTTAGCATGTAACGCTGCTGAACATTTATGGGCTCTGGACTGTCCTGCTAAATGTACTTTCTTGAAGTCAAACCGGATGTTACGATAAACAAGTTGCTATAAGAGAAAATGGCAGCTATGGGATACTTTGCCCTTGTGGAACATCACAGTATAGGTAACTTGTATGAAAATTCTCTGGTCTCTTCACATCCCTAACTGACACTTATTTCAGTGTCTATTCTTTATTCTGAATATGGGTTTGCTATCAGTTTTTTCTCTCTATTATTAGATCCTGAATATCTGAAAACAAAATTATTCTTGCTTTTTGCACCAAACCAAGTAGAAAGCACTTAATGCCTGTATTTATGTTCCT